TAATAGTAATAAGTACTATTTAACCTATTTAATAGCTTTATAATAAGCTTATTAAGAAGGGGGATAATAAAATAAAAAATAAAATTATTATAANTATAGGAAAAAGCTTACTAAATAAAAAGTAAGATACTAAAGATAAAACTTATAACTTAAGGATAGTTACCCTTCTTTAAAGAAATAATAAGATCTTTTTAGAGTATCTCTAAATAAGGAATATAAAAGGGGTTTAAAAGAAGAAGAACTTTAATAAATAGAACTATAGTTTAGCTATTATAATTATAGCTCTAAAAGTTTTATTATTTTTTAATAAATATATAGTAAGTAAATATCTTATTAGATAATAAAGATAATAATATTAAATTTAGTAAATATTACTTAGATAAGAGGAAGAACTCTAATAGGAGGTTAGTTATAATACTTAGATATATAGTAGGGATTATTATATTTAAAAGGGGGATAATTATAAGGGACTAGATATCTAGCTAGAGGGTTTAAGGATAGTTTAGTTAATAGAAGCTAAATAGATAGAAAGGTCTATAAGTCTAAGGTATAGAACCCTCTATAGTAAGAACTTAGTAAGTACTTACTAAAAACTAAAAAAGAAGGAACTTAAAAGAAATAAATAAAAGTAGTATAGTAATACTATACCTACCTTTTAGGTACTTCTTCTATTAGTTTAACCTAACTATAGCCTATAGCCCCTAAATACCTTTATAAAGTGTTATAGTAGTTACTTATATAAGGGAGATAGAAATATCTTATAGGATATTAAGGTAAGGGGGGATTTAGATACTATTTAGGTCTTAAATATTATCTATAGCTAAGAACTACTTAAATAAGGCCTTTCTAAAAGCTTATACCTTTATAATAAGAGACTTAATCGCCCTATCCTTAATTTTAAGAGGTAATAAATAGAAATTAGGCCTTACTTAGTACTATTTTATTATATAGTAAAGATTAAAGATATTCACTATATAGTTAACTTTACTATAATACTAAGCTATTTTATAGGTATAAATAGCTTATTAAAGTTCTATATTAATAAGCTTCTCTTTTTTATAGAAGAGGTAAGAGAGGTATAAATATTACTTATAACTTAGAGATTAAGTATATTAAGCTTTATATAATCTTTATTTAGTATTCTAGTATTTAGATATCTACTAAGCTAAGATAGCTAGACTTAAGGTGTATTAAAATAAATAGGTTATAATATCTATTACTTATAAAAAGTAATAGAGGATAGATTTAGTAATAATATTATATTATACTAATATTATATTTAGGGTAATAATAGAAAGTAGGTTCTATTTATAGAGAGTAGTAAATTACTTAAGTTTACTATTTAGTACTTATACCTAAGCTAGAAGGCTTAGTTCTAAAACTAAAAGGATAGGGATATAGGTTAAAATAGCTTTATAATCTACTCTAAAGTGAAAAGAAGGATTTATCTCTATTAAAGTAAGTAAAATATTAAACTAAAATAGATCTATAGTATAACTAGTATTATATATTAGTACTCTAAGTTTATTTAGAAGGGAAAGACTATTCTAATTTACCTAAGTTTTAATTTTTAATCTACTATTAGTAATTCTTATACTAGAAACTTAAGAGGGGTCTATAGTATTCTAATTACTACTAGTAAAGAGGTAAGGGGGGATAAGGTATTAAAGAATATAAGTAGTAGTATTATTATTTATTATATTAAGCTTATAAATATTTAGAATAGTTATATTTTAAATCTATACTTAAATAAAGTTATAGGTTTTATAAAGCTAAGTCTAAATAACCCTTAAACTTTTCCTAATATATATAATTATTTAAAGAATAGTATTTAAGTTATAATATTCTTAGGTATTAATAAGGTAGAATACTTTATAAGAGAGGTAGTTTATAAGAAATAGCTTTCCCTTCTTTTTATTAGTATAAAGTTTTTATACTAAAACTATATTAATATACTTCTTAGTATAACTTTATAGTAATATATAATTTATAAGGTTTCTATACTTAATATTATACTATATAATATATAAGCCTCTAGTATAATATTCTTAAACTTATCTAAAGTGAAGTATTATCCTTAAAAGGGGAGATTTACTATATATTATTATAATAACTTAGTTCTTTAGAGTATAAAGTAATACTTTAAATAAAGCTATAAGGGGGGTAAGAAGTAGAAGTTTATAATATTATAGACTTCTTAAACTTAAAGAGGTTAAGCTATAATAAACTACTATTTTTTAGACTTTCTCTAAGAACTTCTCATTTTATATCCTTCTAATAAGTTATAATATAAATAATACTACTAAACTTAATAGTATAAGCTTATTTCTAATAGGAATAAGAAGTAAGAGGTATATTTAATATCTTAGTTTTAATATCTTTAAGTTTAAAGTCTTCTAAAGAGGAGTCTAAAATAAAGAAGTTATCCTCTATAGTAGTTTAAATAGTATTAACTATTTTATAGTCTAATAGTATTATACTACTAGTAATAATTATTAATTAAACTATTTTAAACTAAGCTAAAAAAGTAGGGGTATTTAAAAATAGATTATAGAAAGAGCTATTAAGTTTAAATATAAATAATACACTATAAATAACTTACTAAATTTTCTATAATTAGTATTTTAAAAGTATAGTTTAAATACTATTTTTTAAGATAGAGTAGGTAGTATAGTTATTATAGTTTATAGAGAAGGCCTTATAGTAATTTAAGTACTTAAGGTTATTAAAGTAGGTTAAGGTAGTATTAATATTAGTATAGTTAGTTTAGCTATACTAACTATAGTAGTAGGTTTTAATATAAAAGTAGCTAATATAATACTTTTAATACTTATTAGAATAAAGTATAAGTACTTATTTCTTTTTTAATAGAAAGTAAATATAAATAAATTTATAAAAAAAGTACTATTTAATACCTTTATAAGGTTAAAGTAAGATAATAATCTAAGATTAAGTTTAAATAGTAAGGTTTATACCTTTCTATATAAAGTAGGTTTAAATTAAATATAGCTCTATATATTTATAGATATTAGTCTTAACTATTTCTTTAATAACTATAATAATAAAGTTATCTAAATAACTAGAGATTTCTATAAATACTTAATTAATAAGGTATTTATACTATTTCTAAAGGAGGTTAAGTAATTATATACCTATAACTTTATAAATCTCCTCTACTTACTTAAGAAGAGCTTTCTTTATAGAAGCTAAATATAGAATAATAATATAGTTTAAAGTAATATATAAGATATAAGTAATATCTACTAAGGGGAGGTTTAAAACCTTAATAATTCTATTCTAGAAAATATATAATAAGGCTTTATAAGCTTATATTAAAATTTTAGAGGCTTATAAAAGTAAATAGTAATCTATAATAAGTTTTAGTAAAGTATAAAACTTCTAAATACTATATAACTAAGCTAAATTAATTGCTATATTTTATCTAATAAGGGTTATCTTAAAGAGAGATATAGTATTATTTTAGCTCTAAAAAGAGGTTCTTATAGCTATATTACCCTAAGAGAACCTAAAAGTAACTATTTACTAAATATAAATAATAAATTTCTATATAATACTACTAAATACCTTCTATAGAGGTCCCCTATAAATTTTAACTAACTAGTTAAGATATATTATAATTATCTAATAAATTTACTAATAGGTATTAAATAGTTAGAAAAATTTCTATATTCTAGTAGTAATTATTATATACTCTATCCCTTTAGAGCTATTAGGGGGTATTAATTCTACTATAGTAAGTACCTAAGGATATAGATATAATAGCTTAATAGAAGTAGAGGGGGGGGAAAGGTTCTAAACTAGTAATTTAAGCCTAAGTTAGGTACTTATAGCACCTATACGTAGCTATAAAGCTATTATAACAAGTAATTAAAGGCGTTAATATTATAGTTCTAAGTATATTAAGGTTCTAGTGTAGTATACTATAGCCTACTAACAGTAGGTCGCAGTAAAAAGTGTGAAGGAGGGAAGTTGTAGCACTTGCTAGGCCGGATGCGTAATACTCGCGGTTACATGCTACTCTGGGACTGGTGCCACCTTTAGAGTCATATGCGGCTTAGCTGCCACTCCTGCTGTGTTAGCTTGCAATACAGCATTCAGACAATTTCAAGCTTCTTGTTGGTTGGTGGGATTGGCTCCTATTTGTTGATCGACTACTTGTCCTTAGGTATTTGTTGGCCTATATCGCTGGAATGAGAAACTTTGGTCTATGGTGGACTGACGGACATGGTGTTGCTGAGATACAAGTTTCTCTCATGAAAAATTGGGGATTTATGGGAAGTAAATGTTATAGAGTACTTAGCAAGGTAGCCTTTCAATAGCGAAGGATTTCTTAGAAACTTCTTTGAGAATTGCACATAAGGGAAACGGAATACAGGAGGCTTGCCATAGCAGAATCGATTCAGAACTCCCACCGTTTCTAACCAGCCATAGATAAGATAAGGTTACGCACTGGGGATGCGAATTTAGCTTGAAAGATACTCGTTTACAGGCGATCTCATCATGGTGTGCAAGTTGGTGACGGTACCTTGTTGTGTGGTCAGCATCGTCCATGTTAGCAACCCACACTGTATGGGCGGGAGGTCGATAATGACGTGATCTTCATTAACAGGGTCTACATGAAATCATTTCATTCAGAATTAATAGTTTAGAAACTGGTTCGCTTTCACAGAGTTGACGATGACGAAAGAGAGAGACAACAGCTGCTGGAGGCCGACCAGCGAACATTCCAGCAGATCCAGCCTTGCCATCCACGCAAATTGATGTTTGACAGCCTACAATTCAAAGTTTGAGTTGCGTCGAACCATGTAGACTGGGATATTTAATGCGGCCAAATTACCCCATGAACTCGCAATCAGCTAGGTAGGTCACCGACGACACGCTTCTCCTTACAACACTACCTCGAACGGAATTCAAACATGTTATTACACGTTCCCCTCTATCAAACAAAGAATTAATAATTCAACGACATAGTTGTCTTAGTTCTTCTTCTACTTTCAGTCTTCTTAGCAGCGCCACCTGCCGTCAATACTGGCCCCTTAAGCTACAGCATATGCCAAGCTGGTTGCGCAGGCGTCGTAACAGCCTGCTACGCCGCTGCTAGAGCGGTTTGGGGGGCAACAGCTGGTGTCGCAGCTGCTCCCGCTGTCATTGCATGCCACGTAGCGTTCAGAAAGTGTCAAGCTGCATATGCTGTGGTGGCTTTAGCTCCAATCCCTTGAGTCTGTTAATCAGAACTCAACCATCTGTCTTGCGATATAAGTACCTATACTCTATGCGTGTGAGCCGCCTAGAGGTTAATATCTCAAAGCAGCCTTCTATATCTAAAGGAACGCCACTAATAGATTATTATAAGTTTTTAGAGTAGAGGTTAATATCTAAGTGGGGCTAGAGACTCTAGGATTAATAATAGTAGTTATAGTGTTATAACCTATTATATATAAATAATAGTTAACTAACCTACTAGGCATTAAGCAGCTAGGATAAGACATTTATACTATAGAATTATAAGAATAATAGGGACTTACTTAGAATAGAAGAACTATAGTATAAGTTATATAATAATAAGAAGGATTAATAGAAGATAAGTAGTCTAATAAGAGGACTAATATAGAGATAGTAGTTTACTTTTAGGGACTACTTAGATCTTATTAGTCCTAGGATAGAGAGACTATTTAAAACTTATATATAGTATAACTATAAACTAAACTTAAGGTTAAACTTCTATAGCTCTTTAGTAATTAACTTAGTATTTATCCTTATAGATACTCTTAGCTTACTTTTACTATAAATTACTTATTAAGTTTAAGACTAATTACCTTAACTTCTAAAAACCTAATTTACTATTAGTTTATAACCTATAACCTAAGATTATAATTACTATATACTATTATAATATATTAATCCCTAGCTTCTATTAGTAGACCTTACTATTAAATAGCTAACTATAATACTTTAATTACTCCTATTTAGTAAATTAACTATTAATACCTACTAATAGTAAAATAATAAGTATATCTTTATATACCTCTATTAAGTTACCTACTCTAAAGACCTCCTCCTCTTTATAGTAGCTAGTTTAAAACCTAGTTAAAGAACTTAAAGGAGCCCCTATAATAATAAACTCTAATAATAAAGTAACTTTAAAGAAAAATACTTATAAATACTTTTAAATTAGAGTTAAGAAAGGAGATAATAATATTATTAAAATCTAAACTATATATAATAATACTACTATAGAACTTTAAAGCTTTAAAGAAATAATATAATAACTAAGAAATAGCCCTTAGTATATTATAAACCTAGAAAATAAAGTTATCTAATTTAGAGGATAAAATAGTAATATTAATATTAAAGAACTCTAAGAAGAAATCTATACTTTATATATAGTTACTAATATTATTATAACCCCTACTAGAGGATAATAGAAACTTAAACTTAGTACTCTAATTACTTATAATAATACCCCTAAATAACTTAAGTTATTCTTAATTTAAGTTAAAAATTACTAAAACTTCTATTATAAAGACTTTATTAATTAAACTAAAAAAGTTATCTATATTACTACTTATTTATAAGGATAAGCTTTTAAATAGTTTAAACTTATCTAAGAAGAGTTCTTTAAGTATAAAACCTTAGATAAATACTCTACTAAAACCTATAATATCTATAGTAATTTTAAAGAATTTAAAGATATTCTCTACTCTCTCTTCTAAAACCTTAATAAGAAATAATAAACTAAGAGAGACCTTATATAGCTATAATAAATAAAGTTAACTAAAAAATATACTACTATATTTAGATAACTTAATATCTAACTTAACTTTACTAAAGAAATTAAGATCTTTATATTCTATTAAGAACTTAAGGATAAAGTTAAAGATAAAATTATTAAGATTAACTATCCTAAAGACTTTTTTTAGTATACTAACTTTATTATTAAGATTAATAATTAACTTTTTAAATACTATAAGGAAAAAAGTAAAAAATAATAAAGACTAAACTCTAGATATAAATACTAATAGTAACCTTAGTAGAAATTTAGCTCCTAATAGAATAATAATAAACCTTATAATAACTAGAATAATACCTACTAAAATACTACTTATAGATAATATAGTAGACCTATAGATCTTAGTATAATAACTAAACCTAATAATAAAAAGCTTTAAAACCTTAAATATTATAACTATAATAAATAAAAATATATTACTAGAGAATATAAGTAGCTTAAAAAGCTTCTCTAGAAGCTAGTAGCTAAATAACCCTAATAAGTTAATATTATTACTAAAGTCTTATATATATCTTAGTCTTAAACTAGATATTATAATAATAACTATTAGATTTATCTTAAAAATAAAGAAATATTAAGATATTACCTAAAAGATAGTAACCTTAGATAGTCTAAATATAATATAATTACTTTAGATATATATCTAAAAACCTTAATAATAATATACCTTAGTAATAGTAAAATCTAAAAGAAAACTAAAGAATAACTAGATAAGATACTATAAATATAATAGCTTAAACTAATTCCTAGTTCTACTCTAAAAATAATTAATAACTAAAGTTAGACTAGCTATAAACTTCTAAACTAAATCACCTATATAATACCTAAAGAATAAATAAAAGAAAAATCTAATAATAAACTAGATTACTAGTATAACCCCCTAAAAGAATAATAACTATTTAATCTTATAAATAACTAGACTTTTAGAGAAAGAGAAAGCTCTCTTTATAACTTAGATAAACCTCATAATATTATATATTAATATACTTAAGTAGAGATTATTTATAAGCTTACTTTTAGTATAGATAATACTAGTTCTAAAGAAGAATCTAAAAAGGATAATATACCTAAATAAATTATATATAAATAAATTAACCTATATAATAATAAATAGTTTATTAAACTTTATAGTATACCTAATATAAAGCTAAGAACCTATTATACTTTATAACTTAGAATTAAAGATTACTTATACCTTAGAATTATAAACCCTAACTATTAACACCTCTTTTAAGTATAGTATTTCTTTAACTATTATGAAATCTATATAGGAGATAAGTATAACTACTACTTCTAACCTAGATAATATAATAATAATCCCCTATAAAATATCTATACTATATATACTCTCACTAGATAGAAACTTAAAAAGTTTAATAGTAATATTACTATATTTACTCCTAGTTAATAATTTCCTATAAGATACCTCTATAATAAATAGATAAAATAGGATAAATATTAATATAATAAATATTAAATCTACTATAAAGAAAAAGTATACGCCTAGAGAATTATAAAGAATAAACCCTAACCTATTTAGGTTAGATACTATAAAAATAGCCTTATAAAAATATAATAGGAAGGGAAATAAATCACCTACCTAAAATACCTAGAATAATTAAAAAACTAAACTTATCTATTAATATAAAACTATAATAAGTAATAAGGAAAAAGTTTATCTACTAAATATTATAAAGATATAAAGGTAATATAGAACTTAAAGTTACTATTAATTAATAAATAATATTTATACTAATTAATAATAGAGTTAAAGTAAACTTTATTACCCCCTAAGTTATTAATAAACTAAAAGTACTATAAAGAGGAAAAGAATAACCCTATTAGTTATATATAGTAGAAAGAGAAGAATTTAAATATAAAGGAGGTACTATCTATAATAAGACTATACCCCTTAAAATAAGTTACTTAAATTAAAAAGAAAGAATTTAATTTAATATTACTAACTTAGGAATATATAATATAGTATTAGGACTACTCTAGCTATAAATAAGTAACCTATAAATAGATTAGAATAAAAATTAATTTTATTAAGATTATAATAACTTAATCCCTAAGTAGCCCTATTAAAAATAAGCCTTAAATAAGCTAATATAATAAGGAATTATAAAATAATATATCTACTACTTTAAGGTAAAATAAGCTATATTACTACTATTAATAATAATAGATCTTAAATAAAAAAACGATCTACTTCTATCTATCTTAGAAGAGTATAAAGTTTATAAGAAACTTTTTATAGTTAAATTAGAAACTAAACTACTTAAATATACTAGTTTTAATTATAAAATCCCCCTTAAAGAAGGGAAAAAACTATAATTTAATAAAATCTATAGATTTAACTTAATAGAAATAGAAGTTTTAGATAAGTACTTTAAAGAAAACTTTAAGAAAAGTTATATTAGATCTTTAATATTACTAATAGGAAACCTAATCCTATTTATACCTAAAAAGAATAGAAAACTATAGCTATATATTAACTATTATATACTTAATAAAATAATAATTAAAAATTATTACTTACTACCCCTAATAAATAAAATAAGATAATTTCTATATAAAGCTAACTAGTTTATAGCTTTTAATCTTAAAAAGGCTTATAACTTAATCTAAATAAAATAAAGTAAAGAATAAAAGACTACCTTCTAAATATAAAAAAGATATTTTAAGTACTTTATTATACCCTTTAGTCTTACTAATATACCTATAATATTCTAGAATATAATTAATATAATATTATATAAATATATTAATATCTATATAGTTATCTATTTAGATAATATTTTTATCTTCTTACTTATACTTAAGAAGTATAAAGAAGATATTTACTATATTTTATAAGTTTTTTAGGAAACTAAATTCTTAGTTAAACCTAAAAAAAGTAAATTTTATATATAAAAAGTAGAATACTTTAGATTTACNAATTAAATTTAAAAAAAATAAATTTTATATATAAAAAGTAAAATACCTTAAATTTACTATTACTCCTAAGAAGGTTTATATATTAGGAAATAAAATTAAAGCTATTAAAGAATAGCTAATACCTAATAACCTTAAAGAAGTCTAAGGATTCCTAGGTTTTATTAACTTCTACTATAAGTTTATTAAAAACTATAGTAAGATTAATATAGTTCTTATTAACCTTAGCTATAAAAATATACCTTTTATATAAGAAGAACTATAATAGATAGTATTTTAGGAGATTAAGAACCTTATTACTAATAAACCTATCCTAATTATCCTAAACCTAATAAAACAGTTTAAAGTAAAACCTAATATATTTAACTATATAATTAAAGTATAACTATTATAATAAGACCTAGAAGGATAACTATACCTCTATGCCTTCTTCTCTTATAAGTTCTATAGACTTAAGTTTAACTACTAAATCTATAATAAAGAACTTATAGTAATTATTAAAGCTTTTAAAAAATAAAGACTTAAACTCTTAGAAATAATTTATAAAATATTTATATACTCTAATTATAAAAATCTTTTATACTTTATAACTTTAAAAGTACTTAATAAATAATAAATCTAATAGTTAGAATTCCTCTTAAAATTTAATTTCTAAATAATCTATTAAAAAGGATTAGATAATAGTAGAGTAGATACTCTTAGCTAATAACTAAATTATAATATCCTAGTACTTAAAGAACCCTAGGTAATTCTTAAATAATAGAATAATAGAGACTTAATATTAATAGCTAAACTCCTAATAATAGCTAAACGATTTAATATTAACCTAATTAATAAACTAGATAATAAAGTAATTATAGAATTTTATATACGCCTTATATATAGTTACTAANTAAGGAATTATAAAAACCTAGAAATAATTATAATAATAATATAGAGAAAAGGTTATAAGAAAATATATAGTAAAAGTAATTAAGGATTATAAGGTATACCTAAAAAGCAAACCTACTTAATATTAACTTTATAATATATTATAACTTTTATTTATACTATAAACTACTTAGTAATCTATATCTCTTAATTTTATTATTAAATTACTAAAGTCTTAAGAACCTCTTATAGAAGTATATTTTAATAGTATCCTTATTATAATAGACTAACTTATAAAGTATACCTACTTTATCCTATATAAGGAAGTAAGTAATACTAAAGAATATATATATATATTCTTTAAGTATATTATTACTAACTATAAAATACTTAAAGAGATTATATTAAACTAAAATAAGATCTTTACTTCTAAGTTCTAGAAGTTAATTATAGTATAACTTAATATTAAGTAATCTATATCTACTATATTCTACTTATAGACTAATAGATAAATAGAATATATTAACTAAATCCTCAAAATATACCTCTATACTTATATTAATTATAACTAAGATAATTAGGTTATATTACTACTAATTACTTAGTTTACCTATAATAGTATAATTAGAGAAAATATTAAGGAATCCTCTTTCTACCTTAACTATAGATTTAAACTAACTACTTATAGAGAACCCTAAATAGGCTTAGTTATAATTAAAGCTATCACTTTAGTATAATAAATTAAAGATATCTAAGATAATATATATAAAGAACTTAAATTTATTTAATAANCTAATAATAAATATTAAGATTTAGTAATAAATAAAGGATTAAGGGATTAATTTTAAAAGAGGGAGATAATACCTACTTTATATAGCAAAATATTAAAATAAAATAACTAAGTAATAAACTTAATTATAAAAAACTTAAACTTTTTAANAACTAAGTAATAAACTTAATTATAAAAAACTTAAACCTTTTAAAATCTTATAAGTTATCTCACTAATTAACTATAAACTTAAACTCTTAGAAATTATAAAGTATTATTTAGTATTTTATATTTTACTTCTTAAGCTAGTATTATAAAGATTATAAATAAATAACTTTATTATTATAGAAGATAATAAACTAGAATATAAAATAGAAAAACTACTTAACTACTAATATAAAGATAATAAATAGGAATACCTTATTAAGTAGAAAAACTATAGATATAAAAATAATATATAAGAACTTAATAATAACCTACTTAAGTATTAAAATAAGATTAATAAGTATATTAAGATACTTAATTATATTAATCCTTAAAATAAACTAAGTCTATTTATAACTTTAGAAGAATTTAAAGAATATATAAAGTATACTAATAAAAAAGAGAAATAAATATAGGAAGAAATATAATAGAAATAAAGAGAAACTAAGAAATAAAAGATATAACTCTTATTAGTATAAGTATAACTAAGAGGATACCTTAGATTAGTATAATAAGAAAATATATCTATTCACCTAAGGATATTAGAAATAAACTAAAATAATACTAAAGTATTACTAATATTAGGAACTAAAAAACTAAGTTTAATAAAGTTTAAACTAAACTTAAACTCTTACTACTAAGGATTATTTAGTACTTTAGTAGTTTAAAGGTTACTTACTACCTACTTCTTATAAGTATCTAATACTAGAAGTATACTATCCTCTTTATTAATCTCTTATATCCTCTATTTAAAAGTTTTAGTTTAATATTCCCTTATTAGTTTCTTAGTTATATAAATATAGTTTAAGTAATTAGTAACCTCAGCTATTTAAATCTATAAATAAATAAACTCCTAATAAAGTATAAGTAGCTCTTTATTAGCCTTTTCCTCCTTCTTATCCTACTCCTTCTACTACTTATTTAACCTTTATACTATAAAAAAAAAAAAAAAAGCAAATTAACTACTTAAAAAAAAAAAAAAAAAAAAAAAAAAAAAAAAAAAAAAAACTAATANAAAAAAAAAAAAAAAAAAAAAAAAAGAACTAAAGAAGCTACTATATAAGTTAAAGCTACTCAGATATTATTATAAAGCTTCTTCGCCTTAATATATATATAATATTAAGATAACTTCTTATTAAAATAGTAAAGAACTTTAGTCTAAAAATAATAGGTATAAAGTATATTACTAGGTAGGAAATAAGAATTAATATATTTAATTAAAACCTTATACTTATAATCTTTAAGCTTAGTAGTAAGTAACTTCTTTTTTAATTTCTAAATATAACCTAATATAGCGTTAATATTATAAGTAAATTAGAAAGTATAATTAATAGATCCCTAACCTAAGACTAATAACCTACTTATATTAGGTTTTAAGAATAAAACCTATAGAGAGGGGACTTAATATTATAACCTATTATATATAGATAATAGTTAACTAACCTACTAAGTATTAAGTAACTAAAATAGGATATTTATACTATAGAATTATAAGAATAATAAGGACTTACTTAGAATAGAAGAACTATAGTATAAGTTATATAATAATAAGAAGGACTAATAGAAAATAAGTAATCTAATAAGAGGATTAATATAGAGATAGTAGTCTACTTTTAGGGATTACCTAGATCTTATTAGTTCTAGAATAGAGAAATTATTTAGAACTTATATATAGTATAACTATAAACTAAGCCTAAGGTTAGACTTCTATAGCTCTTTAGTAATTAACTTAGTATTTATCCTTATAGATACTCTTAGCTTACCTTTACTATAAATTACTTATTAAGTCTAAGACTAATTACCTTAGCTTCTAAAGACTTAATCTACTATTAGCTTATAACCTATAACTTAAGACTATAACTACTATATACTATTATAATATATTAATCCCTAGCTTCTATTAGCAAACCCTACTGTTAGATAGCTAACTATAATATATAGGGAACTATATCTGAGATATATTTATTTGTATTTATATTACCTAAAACCCCTATAAATATAGCATTTATCGCCCCTTAAATAGGCTTTTTTTTAACTTTAATTAACCTCTTTTTCAATAATTACATAATATATAGTATATATATCTAAATAAAAAAGATATCTCTAAGATTAGTAAAATTAGGGCTATTAATTAGTATACTTTTTAATTAGGTATATTAGGTTTCTAGGAAGTTTATTTTTAGGCTAAAAATAGGCGAAAAACGACGAAAACTCTATTTTCAAAGAGGAATGCGTTTTTTATTAAGAATGAATATAAAAAAATCGACTTTTTAAAATAATAATATACGTAATTAAAAAGTATACTAATTAATAGCCCTAATTTCACTAATTTTAGAGGTATCTTTTTTATTCAGGTATATACGCTACGCGTTACGTAATTAATAGTTCTTTCTGCTAAAAAAGGGGCTTTTTTCAGCTTTTTCAGGCACTGCGTTAGAAAAAAGCCGTTTTAGCCCCTAAATGTGACAGGGGTTTCGGGTAACGCAAACGCAAATAAGTGTGGCAGTCGCGCATGGACATGGACGTGTCACCTTTCGAGGAAAGAGATGAGAGACCACAAATCTTCAGTTGAGGACCAGCTTTCGGCGACGCGCGGGTTCTCGTTCTGTATCGCGAGGGCGCGAAGATATCAGCTGCGGAAGGCCGACTAAGACCTGCTGTGGGGTTTTGCCCTTCACCTCAGCTAACGTAACCTCAGTCGAAGGCGTGTTGGTGGGCCGTTTTCAATATAGATTATGTTAGGTCGCAGTTCTCTCGTAATCTACGTGCACGTAATCAATCATCTTAGCAATTTACGTCATACCCACTCTCAAATACACAAAGCACCAAATACCTTGCACAACATCTGCCAAAGACACTCTGGAGGGGAACCCTCCAGTCGTACAATCGCATTATCCCCTACAGCCACATGGCTAAGCCCTTAGTCGATGAAGCATTGGGGGCTTCTTTGAACGAACCACTGAACCGCATTCCCGGGCGCAACGTAAATCCTGGCCTTATCTTTTCCCTGTTCCAAAGCGGCGATTACCTTAGCTGTGATGTCAATATCAGCCCCCTAGTCACGTGGCTTCTAATACCCGTCAAATCAGGACTAATACAGCTTGTCGAAGACGGTGCTGGTTGGGGTGTGCGCATCTCCGTCGGCTTCGGTGCTATTGCCATGATTACCTATTTCTGGCTCTTCCTGGTTACGTTCAGTGTCACGATATTTTTCAACAGAAACCACACGGGACTGAAGTGGAGTCCATGTACTCTGGCTGCTCAGGTATCATTGATTCAAAGCTCTAATATTCTTGACGAGCTTGCGAATATTCCTACAGATTCGCTGAACGATGCCGTCAGATCCTGGCCGAAAAAAGGATTGCGACTACATCTGGGATACTGGAAAAAGGAGAACAGCAATCTCGTCATTTACGGGGTGAGATTTCTTCAAACAAACGACACCCACACAACCAGCGACTTGGACCCCGAACGTGGAATTCGAAATTTCGACACTAGGGTTCCATATAACACGTATTAGAAACTACCGGCCAATATTAATTCGAGGCCCGTCCAGGGATCTACACCAAGTGATCCGCGGCCACATGTCGACAGGGTTTGGAATTATTTCCTTTCGGACGCCTATCTTGTCATCATGACGATACTTGGTGCCTCTGCGTTGATTGCCGCTACTGTTGAGTGGGCAAAGGGGTTCAGACACAGTTCTTCATCGTTTGCACCAGACAACCAGATAGTGCATCCCGAAAATGGTCGACATGATTCTCAAACGGGGAGTGCGGATCCGGAGGGCACCATACGCGTCTTCCTCCGTGGGATAGTGTTCACCGTGCTCCCGTCTTTGCTCTTCGGCCTCTTCAACAACTCTTTCCTCGCGGCTGACATCTATCAGCGGATAATGACGCCCATTACCAATATGGCCAAACCACTTGAAGAGGATGAACGCGCTCGTTTCTACCCAGGAGAACCAAATATCAAGGGCGCAATGGCCAAGGATAGTATGCTGCTCGACTACATTTCACTCGACATCATCAGTTGCGTTGCGGCCGCCGTGAGCAATGGTAACTACAAAATCGTCTGGGGTTTGCTTCTAGCAACAGTATGCAACTCCGTCTACATTGTCGCTGGCCGGATTTTTGCTTTCGTGGAGACGCCAAGCCCAGCTGGTGGTGTGTATTACGTGGTCACTATTCAGGAGCGCAACTTCTTCGCCGCCTTCGGCATTATGATCTTCTACATTATCAGCCTTTGGGTCCTCCGACCGCATGGTGTGGTCCGCACTTGCCGTCGTCTTTTCACCCTGATGGACCTGGCCTCATTAGTGCACCAAAGCCATATTCTCCAATGCCCTGAATTCTGGCTGCAGAGCCCCTCCGATACGGAGGATCATCTGCGCGCACAGGTGACATTGGCCAACCGGGTCTACACCTATGGCATCTACAAGGGTTACGACCAGAATGAACACGTTGGTATTGCACCGCATTCCATTCCTCGTGCGTGGGATAGGAGCGCCAGCGCTTCTCTCCCCAAATTTTACTACTCGGTCGAGTTAGCACGAGATATGCTACGATATGGACTAGACGGCGACGACGCGCTCAAGTACGCGCAGAACCTTCTCGAGACCGGCCCCCGGACGGAGGATGGTTGCGTCAGGGTGCGGTCAAACGAATACCGAAGCTGGAGAAAGGGTTACAGGAGACCAAGAGGCCCACGAGGAAACAGCAGGAGTCACGAAGGCGAGACGAGCACGACGTCATCGTATCAGCCGCCTGGACCTGATCCCTGGTCCGGATCCTATCAACGAATCAGCCACATCGAAACACCTACGATGGACGACGAGACGGGTGAAACAGGAGCAAGGGATAGAGACGAGGGCGATATGGACCGTCGAAGTTCGTAGGCCAACAATCGTCTTCATATACTTACTTGCGAAAAATGAAGAATCCATTTGGATATCCCACACATCTTTAGATAAACCACCCACCAAAACGCACAGCGCCCAACACTGCGTAGCAACGAGGAGTAGCCCAATCATATCCAACCTTTTTCTTCATAGTTTTCATTGGTGCCAACAGAAAGTGCAATTTTAGGCAGCAAGGAGTCATGTGACCGGCAAAATTAACTGGGTTCTTGGACGCGTTTATCATGAAGCTGCGCCGCGTGCGGGGATGATTTGTGCATTTCAGCAACGAATCCCGAACCGCCAGCAATCCGAACATGCGCTGCACCTCATGCAATCAAAAAGGTCCTCTGGGCACAGACAGCATCATTGTCTAGTGCACGTACAAGGAACTACAACAGAGCGCTCAGAATCGATGTCCGCGATGCGAATTCGTCTCAGCTTGGATTGGGGTGTGGGCTGATTGTCTAAATATCATAGAGTCTACCAAGGTTTTGGCTTTGGAATTGAGCAGCACATGCAACATTTACACGGGTGATGGTACCGTCATTCTGGGTCTCTTCAATATGGATAGTCAGACCGGTGAGTGCGTGCATCAATACAGAACTCGTCCCAGTCCGTCGAACTGTACGTTATCTGACGTAGAACACGGCACATACTACTAAGCACAGTAAAGTGGAATCTAAGGAAATAAATTCTAGCGAGCTGCAGATGGTATACAGCCTCCGTTCAAGATCGAAAGGGTCGGCCAAAACCTCCCAGAAACCACGGATTCAAACATAACCCGAAAAGCCATAAGCGGCTGGCTTTCAAGTTGTGCTAAATCGCACACGGAGTGCCAGACTCCAGCGGAGTCTGTTGAAGATTTCAGGGGGCCAACAAGAAATTCTCGAGATTCTTGAGGATACAGTAGTCCTCCGAGAGAACGTCACGAAGATGCGCTACGCCTGTCTTAGTCATTGCTGGGGCAACCCTGAAGAGGTTTGCCAGACACGCAAAAGAAACATTCCAGATTACAAGGACAAGGTGCCGTTGAACTCATTGACTGCGACCTTCCAGGATGCAGTCGATATTTGCCGCTTGCTGGACATCAAATACATTTGGATCGACTCACTTTACATCATCCAAGACAGTCCAGAAGACTGGGTGAGTGAGGCATCAAGAATGGCTGATATACACGAGAACGCGTACATCACCATCACAGCCACAAAGTCTACGGCTTCGTCGGGAGGCTGCTACTCGGAGACGCCAAACAAGTACATCGCGTGACCTATTCCTGGGTACAAGAACGCCTTTTCACGATTCAAACTCCCCGGATTACCCACTCACTGGGCTGATTTTGGCAGACAAAAAGAGCTGCCTTTGTTCAACAGGGGCTGGATCTACCAGGAAATGCGGCTGTCGCATCGGGTACTTCACTTGTGCGCCCAAGAGGTGATCTGGGTCTGCAGATCGAGGATTCTGAGACAAAAAGAGTCGGAAAGCAACGAATATCGCCTTCCCTTCTCCTCCCCGGGACATATGGACTACAATGATACACCATGTAACATTCCTTCTTCCGAAAGACCCGATCTACTTTGGTGTTGTATGATCTCTGAGCCTATGGGTATCAACGTTGTCTATGAGGGGTCTGATAATTTGGGCAAGGCATTGAAATCTTCGATGACTTCAATCATGATTCAGGCACCTATTCTCAAGTGCAAGGTGATGTATGCATCAGACGCAGAGGGCAAGCCTCAGGTGGTGCTCACAGAAGCAACAGGCATAGTCGCCTATGGATACGTTCCAGACTTCAACATGCCCAGAACTCGAAGGCGAACGGGTTATATTGCTGTGCTTTGTGGCAGAACGACTGGGACGGTTATGTCACTCCACCTGCAGAAGCGAAGTAAACGAGGCGCAGATGTTTACAAGCGCATGGGTCACATACGGATCGAACAGAAGGAGTTTTCAGGGGACGACACCTTGTTGCTGTCGAAAGAGGAGATCAAGGGGTTTTGGTGCATCTTGCCCGAACCGAGTGTGATAGAACTAGTATGAGCGGATAATTGAGTATATCACAGCAGCCTCGCAGTTCCATAACTCGTCGATGAAAAGCTTGTGCGGATTGCTGGAAGGTGACAATTCCCAATGTGGCAATTAGTTCGTAGGAGAACCCCTGAAACCGAGGCCCGGTGAGGCGGCCCGGCGTCTATCCCCGCAAACAGCAGTGCCACGCCGGCGATGCACAGGCCAGCGCTACGCCCGAGGAGGAAATATAAGGTGCTGACAACTCTTCCCTTCCCCGCTTCACGTCCCCGATGTTGTTGATCCTCCAGCATACCCCAGATTCGAGCAATCGTCGGCTTGACATCCGACGAAGCTTCTTGTTTTCATCCACTGCGAGCGCTCGTTGTATCTCAATTTCTTAACTGCATCACATTAATCTTGGTTTGCCTTCGTCCTTTCACGGAGAGGCGCGTTCTGTTCACCATGACGTCCGACGACTTCACCCACGTCCCTCCCCCGTGGAAGCTCAAGGGCGATATCTACCTCTTCAGCTTCTGGACACCAAGGAAACAGGCTGAGCACCCGCCGACAATCACATACTCTCCTCTCGAGGCCAACTCATCGTACATCAACCCGGAAGGAAGTCGACCGTTGGGCGGCATTAGCATGGTTCAGATCATACGATACACCGAGAGCCCAGTGGGTCCCTATGACGAGCTGATCCTCAGCCCCGGCTTTCATGAGTACACGGTCGAAGAAAATGGCAAGCGGGTGAAGAAGAAGAATGCCAGAATCACGAGAATATACGTGTCGCAGAAGCACACTTGCTGGAATGGCCGCAAAAGTGAGTTGTGGTCTCATCTCTCATCTCATTTGAGATCTCATGTGAGCAAATGTTAACACCAGATTTCAGACTGGAACATCCCCAAGCACCTTGCCGCTTTCGATTGGACATACGATGTAGACGGCAGCACCCACGTCAAGGTTTTCCCGCACGACACCACAGGCGATCTCAGAGAAGCATCTGCCAGCACGACGCCACTCTTTCAAGCCACATTCAAGCCTGTTCCTTACGTCCCCTCATTCCCACTATCCCTGAATCTTCTCTCCTATGTCGGTCTGGACGCCACGCTTGTTCAACCTCCGCTACCTGAGGGCAGCGGCAGCCAAGGCGAACTGCCCGGCACAGATCGATGGTGTAGCGTTGCGCCGGGGCAGTACTCGAAGAAAGCAAGCCTTGGCTGGTTCGACATTAGACAGGCCGATGAGAAGGGAAACATCGTGGGTGAGCATGAGAATTTCTGGCCTGGTCTTGGAAGGTGGCAGATGGGTATCAAGATGGAGAACTCGGATGTCACTTTCGCGGTGCCCAAATATTGGGACGCGCCCAAATCTGTATTGTGAGCGTTGGTGCATGTAGGAATATGATGCTTGTGAAAAGATTCCACGATGGATGAATCGGGTATTCCATTCGAAAGATGCGCATATTGCGTTATCTCACTATGTAAGAGTCTGTCATAACCTGCGGCGCATCTCTCTTGATCCTAAATTCAAGTTTACGAGAACGAGCGCGCTGTGGAAACCGGACTAGGGTACTGCAGCTCGCTTCATGAGACAGCCCCAGGACATTACTCCCTTCTCCTTGTAAGAAGGACACTCCCCGCCGCTGCTCGTCTAACCGGCATTTTCTAGAACATGCTCATCGAAGAACATCAAACATGACGCGTAACGAAGGCAGAACCCAAAGTAGGGCATCCTACGCTCACACATGGCGACCAGCCAGCCTATTAGGGGCGCTGCCGAGTTGCAGGGGATGAGATTTGTGACTCAGACTCCCGGCCAGTCTCCACGATCCCGATATATCCCACGCGACAGCGTCCCATTACGATGACCTGCATCGGCACGCTCGGACGTTAACAACGTGGGATCGCATACCAAGACGCGGCTCACTTGAAGATGTGAAGAGGTGGTGGAGACACTTTCGTAACGGCCCGAAGCGACACTAAAATAGTGCCTTTGAGGAGAAGCTTCAGCATTTAGGATTCGTATCACATGAGCTGGATTGAACGACCTGGTTCATTCTCGAACTGGTATAGTTTGCAAATGCGGCACGAAAACCCACTCGGACGTGTCACCGTCAGAAGTCGGTCTCACGGCTGCCCGCCTTACCCAGATCACCAATTTCAAAGACAGTGCGGTTGGTCATCAATTCATGACTTCATTCATTTTAAACTATTGAAACGCTTTTGCTTAAACCTCCACATCTATGCTCTGACTCTCTCCTGGCCAACCTTGGCGGCGTGCTCCAGACCCTCAACAACCTCCTTGGGGACAGAGAGGAAGGGAGAGTGGGAGGCCTTGACGGAGTAGGTGAAGCCGTTGGGGCCGAGCTGCTGGGCCATGCCCTCCTGGATGGCGAGGGGAATGGCCTTGTCCTCCGTGCAGAAGAAGAACATGGAGTCAATCTCGTGCCACGGCTCGTAGGTGACGACGTCGTCGAAGACGGGCGCGGACTGGTGCTTCAGCTGGGAGATGGCCTTAGCCTGGAGCTCAGGCTCGACGTCGTGGTAGAAGATCTCCTCGGGAGTGAGGGCGTGGACGTAGTTGCCCTGCAAGCGCATTAGTCATGGATCTTGGTTCGTCTCATTTTTTGATCTCAACTTACGTCGAACTTAATCCAGGGGAGGAACTGGCCACCGAGCATGACCTTGATGGACTTGCCGACGGGGACGACGAAGGCGCTGAGGTAGACGAAGGTGATGACACCACCCTTCTTGCCCTCCTTAGCACGCTGCTTGTAGCCGAGACCCTCGACGGCGTTGGCACCGACGAGACCACCGTAGGAGTGGACGACCAGGATAATCTCCTTCTCCTCATCGGCGAGTCTCTGAAGGACGGATCTGACGGCGGCAGCGTCGTCGTTCAGGCCCTTGGTGGGGGGCTCAGCGCCGACGGAGGGGTACTCGACGGCGACGGTCTCGTAACCCTTGGAGTTGAGGATCTGCTCGACGAGAGAGTAGCAGATCTCCTTGTGCCACGCACCAGGCGCGAGAACGAAGGTAGGCTTGGCAGCAGACATGATGTATGTGTTGTTGGTAACGGGTGTGATGTGGTGTTGAAAGATTAGCGAAAGGAGTCTGCAGGTTCGGTAGGAGAATTTTAGAAAGGCTTGTCAATATGAACCAAAGAAAGCGGCGAAGCGGTCAAGATCTTTAAATACCACTAGCCAAATGTGACAGCTGCAGCACCAGGTTCATCGCAATTTGTTGAATTGTTCCGTTTTGTTCCCCTCCCCTCAACCCCTCTCTCTCTGTATTCGTAACCCTGTGGTCCCCGTTGACCGATCCCTGCTAGAACGCCCGCGGAAGGCTCAAGTCGGAAGTCGGAAAACCCTTGAGCTACCCACTAACATACGGCAATTGCAGCGGTTTCTCGCCAGTTTGACCGTTGTTGGCGGGTCCAGCGACTCATGAGGACGCATCCATTGCGGAGATTCTTCAGCGCGGCACCTCCCCAACGGGGTGACATCGTCCAGTAATGGGCCGAATAGGGACGATAGGGGTCCATATCGAGGGAACCGTGCGCAAACGTCAGAACAATTCAGGGGTCTGGAGGGCCATTGGTCTCTGCTGCGACGCTGGTTCGGATGCTCATCAATCTCAAGCAGAAACAGTCGGCACCGCTTACTTGCCCTTGCCGATATTTCTCAGCCAAAGTCGCATCGAAGTGGCGCCCTTCACCCTCTTTGAGCTCTTTTGAGGCTGTCGCTTGTGTTGTTTGCGGCTAAGTCCACGTGTCAGATGCATCTTCTTCGGATGCAGGGTTCATGGGGAGGGGTTGCATGTCGATCAAAGAGGGGAGTTTAAACTGGAACATGAGACGATATCGGAAGAGGGACCATGGCTATTTCATCCTCATATTTAGTTATCGCCAAGGTCTTGTTTCGACTTTCCATGGAAGCCGTCGACGAAGCCCGACTCTGGAGGGTCCTGAGCGAATTCACAGTGATGGCGACGACGACGATGAGGCCATTCTCCACCCGAAGCGAAGCAACACCGCCGGCCGACCTGGAATGGAGGACTCGAGGCGACTAGTCCCTGCACAGGAATCCTTCGGCAACTTGATTGATAAGGCGGATGACGAGTTGTCAATGATTTACGATTTTCCCGGCGTCTTCGAAAGCAATTATATAATTGCCGCAATATTATTCATCAACTCCTTCAACTCTCGGGCGTCTTATCGTCGCTTCATCGTTGGTAATGATGGCACCTCGGATTGGT